GTAACAAAAAAAAAAAAAAAAAAAAAAAAAAAAAAAAACACATCATAGTAAAATTAATACCTTCCCAGCTTCGCATCGAAGCTAAAATAATAATTTAAAATTATAACATTTTCATAAAAAAATGTTTTGTCTAATGGCCTTGCGAATTTGAAAGTCACCATAGTTAGTATTTTTTTCGATATTGGTAGAAAACACTATTACTATATATATTGTTTTAAGTGTTTTATGCATTCATACATTTCTAATAAATCTTTAAAGAAAATTTTTTTACACTTTCACTGTTTTTTATTTGATTTACATGTCTCATAGGAGGTGCTGTAACACTCCCCACGAATGAATTTTTGTTTAAAATAATATTTTTTTAAGTACTGTAAAGTAAAAATATTGTGTATAAAATATCATATTGGTTTTTTTATTTTTTAAAAAATTAATAATTGCAACTTTTAAACTAACTCAAATGACTGTTTCACTTAAGAAAATCGCTGCTCAATAGTAGTTTTTGTATCATTATTTTGAAATTTTTTAACACTTAAAAATATAGACTGCGGACGAGTATAATGATTATTTCTATGGTTCTATTTTTTGTAAGTTACCTAAAGCTGTAACATGTTGAACTTGTTCTAATTTCACTTGATCTGATTCTATTAGTGAAAACCAACCATTTGGATACACAGGTGGCAATTTTCCATTTTTTCTCAATTTCATTGTGGCTCTGATCATATGCACTCTTTCACTCGATGACCACTGATTGTACAATATATTTTCATAACCAACATCTGTTAATGTCTTAAGATTTTAATTATTATAAGTGATATAAAAAAAAAATTAATATTTTACATGTGAAATAGATGTTGATCTTGTTTATACGTACCCTTTTAATATTCCACGGAAGTATCACTAATTTACATCCATAAAAAAATATCAAACACACTGCCGTTAAGATTAATATTGACTTGATAGCCGTGATTCCATTTTGATTTTTGACGTACTCGAATATGTCCGAGGCAAATTTAGTAGACATCTCGTTTGTTATGATTTTAAATGACTTGAACATTGTTTTGACCTGAAAGCTTCAACTTATAGTTAGAAATCAAGAATAATTTATATAAAACATTTATAGCTTAAACACTTTTAATAGCCATTTTTTTTAAATATTCGATATAAACTAATATTACCGCGTGGTCTATCGTAATACTGATAATTCTGTCATCTTGTAACTCAAACGTAGTGTTCGTCATAAGTGTTTTTTCAAAAAAGATTTATTCATATTTTATTTATTTATTCAGATTGTATTCAAGAAATCGAATTAAATTATTGATCTCATGAGATTCTGTACTTAGATATTTACACATGTGCGCATGACATAATGAATGAATAAAAGTTATGGTTTATTCATGCTACAATACCAAACAGCTCAGGTAGTTATAGAATCTAATTATACTGCAGAGTCCTGTGAACATTGACTCGGAATATGTACAACTGTCCGACTAGCAATATCGCCTCACATTATAGTATGTGTACAAGATTGCAGATGGAATAAATGAATACGTTTAGATTCGCTAGCATTAAAAAGACTAGAATATGAAATGGCAAATCACCTTTGCCAATGTCAGGTCAAGGGTATGATGGCGGCGCGACTTCGTGAAAGAGTAAAAGAAAGAGAGTTGGTGCCACGAGCACAATTCTTATGCTCCTATGCAGAGATTGGAAAAAACAATGTACATATATTTATAAATTACAGGTAACATAAGTTATAATACACATGTTTAAATTATGATAGGCAATAATAGTATTGCGGTTAGGTATCATAATTATTTTACCTAAGTCACCACAAGTGGTCGCGGCGTCGACTAAATTCTTCAAAGATATTATTGTTTTCTGTTTAAACAAATTGCATTCAACTACATCGCGTGGTGCATTCACAGTCGGGTGCATAAAATATCATATTATTGAACATCATTTAGTATGTACTTACATTTTTAATATCACCGGTTTATATTACACTTTGAGTCAAATAGAAACTATCCGCGAAAATCTGAAACATAATCAATGTTCATATTGAAGCATTGACTAAACCCTTTTGGTTTATGGTTTAAAAAATTTCACTAAATTAGATTAATTTAACAAAATATTTTATCGTTTTTATATTAAAAAAAAAAAAATGCTTTTGTTTGATAAAGATAACAGATTTCATATAATGTAAAAAAAATTACGAATTATTATCGCAAATTCAATACTTTATAATTATAAGCACTACTATAAATAACGATTAGTTTATAAGAAAATAATGAATACATTTTATAATTTTCGTGTATCTTTTAAGATAGTATTTTATAATATCGTCTGATTAATTCCCAAACAAGAGTATTATAACCTATTGATATTGTTCTAGTTGATTACGACAGGCACTTAGAGCTCATAATTTTTTTAAAGGTCCAAATATTACTTTAGTAATAAATAAATCCACTTAATATTTGGATAAGAGTTTGCTGACCAAGGACTTTTTTCAAATTAACATGTTTCAATTTATTTTTCAACTATAAACGCATTTTAAAATACGAATACCTAGATCATCTGGTGAAATTTCGATGAAATTTGTATAATATAATATGTATATTATATTAAAAATATTAAATTTAATAAATTTACAATAAACAATAGTATGTAAAAATATATGATAGAATTAGGCAAATAATAAAATAGCATTGGTGGATTAAAAGAAAGTATGCCAATTGCTCAAATTCATTATTTTATTGGTTAAATTTTTGTAATGTCATAATATTTTATATGTATTTAATGTTATACTAAGTTCCATTTTTATTTTGTCACATAATGATTCTTCGATTAAACTATTATTTAGATTCTGTTTTTTTAATATTTGTTTTTTTTTTGAAGAAGAAGAAGAAATCTATTTACTTGCTTTTGAGGGTAGGTATAATATTTTTCTATGGAGTGCTAAACATTTTTTTTTTTTATTCAGCATAATTGAGTTTTATAACTCAATAGACGTTTATTTTTTTACTTATAACTGTTTTTTGATATGATCAACACATTTCTAAGGGAGTGATGACTATATCAATGCAATTATAAATAAGGCCTCTATATAACATATATACCACCCTATATAGAATTTATACTAAAAGCTAATTAATTTTTTTTCTCTACAATTAATAAAGATATCTCAAAATTAATAGTACAGGGGAAAAAGACGATTTATTGATGCCTCCACATTTCTAACTCCGGTCAGTGGCAGCACAAGATCGGTACGAGCAGACACGTGCTCCGAGCCCCACACATAACAGTGAGGTAATTAGAATTTTGTATAACCGGGCATACTCAAAAAATATATATATATAAATTGATTATTGGGGTAAAAGGAAAAATTTTTTACTATTCTTTCAAAAAAGTATCTTATGTATAAAAATATATCCAAAAGTATTTTCACAATATAATTACTTTATGGTGGAAATATTTATGCCCAAACCCTCTCATGTTATGTTCGTGTTCTACAGTTGTATTTGTGACTATTTATAGCTTATAAATATATAACTTTATATAACTTTTATATAACTATATAACTTTTGATGAAATCGTATCTCAAGTTCAGTATATTTTAAAACTTTTATTTTCATACGATTTAAAAAAATTTTTTTTTTAATTAAAATTTAAAAATTTTACTAGATGCAATACTTGATAGCTTGATAATCATGATTTAAGGTAGATAATATACTGTAGCTTTTTTTTTCACTTTAAGAAATTTCCTTACAGCCATTAAAGGTGTAACATTATTTATGGGTGGTCGTCCTTGATATTAATAATACAGCATTTCATTACATCTTCAACCTTGGCCTTGGCTACCCCTTTGGTAACTTAATTGATGATAGTTACTGGTCAATTTTAATAGCTTATACTCCTTCGGACTTTATTGAGTACCAACCTTTGAACTCGCATGATCTTTTTATACTTTGTAATCATGATAAATTATTATAAATATAATGTTATAATAGGGTATATTCAATATTAGCTGAGGTATAATTAATATAAATTTACAATAGACGGTGATGTAGAAAATATTTTTGGGGGAGTCTTTTCATTATTTCTTTTAGAGTGATATTTATTTTTCTATTAGAAAATTTTTGTAGAAAATATAACTAATATAAAAGGAGGAATTTCTCTTGTGGTCCTCCCTCGTAAACGTGTTTGATTTAAAATAAATAGACGAAAAACATTACTGATCTTTGATTAGATTGTAAAACTTTAAATTTAAAATAAATTAAATATTCATCTTAAATATAATTTTTAGGTTTGGAAAATATATGTATCAGAGTAACTTTATAACAATTATCTTATGACTAGAATTTTTATTCTTTCATAAATACTCAAATAATTCATTTGTCTTAATAGTTTTAAGACTGTTTAAGAAATTTCTCCCTAAAGCTGTTAACAAATACTAAAATTATTAATATCAATACAAAAAATTCATGTGCTTAAGTAATAAAAAAATGTAACTTACCAATCAGTGTGATCAATATTTCTACTTATTTAACAATTGGATAGTCGCCGAACACAGAATACTTAATTACTTTTACGCTATAATAAAATTTTACATATAATTCAAAAATTAAAATAAAAATTTTTTTGTAACACAAATGTGACGCAGTATCATCTTAATACCTCAAATTATTATTTATATTCGTAAACAAGATTAACTGATGAACTAATGTAAAAATGATGGTATATTAGATAAATGATGATCCAATACCAGAGGGATTAAGGTGACATCTAAAATCGCGGGAACTCAAAATATTTGACAAGTAAGCAAAATAAGTTTAAAAATTTATTTATTTGTCAGCTATTTAAAAATGAAACAGATAGACAAAACGTTATGTGAAGTGAATTAAAAATTTAATTTAGTAAAACGAGAACTTGTGATGACGGGGAATTTCCCAATTGCACTATTGTTTGACTAATGGTCACAGCTAAACAAAATAGGCTCATACACATTTAAAATTCATCATTTACACATTCAACAATAAACTGAATAATTTTATAATGTTTTACTGTTTGAAAAGAAAATAGTAAAATTAATTTTTTTCAATATTTATGCAGTGGCATATTTTAAATTAAAAAAAAAATTCCTGAAAAATTAATATAAATGGCCTCTATAAAATATCCTAATTTTAAATAGTCAATGAATGTATGTAAATTTCAATAATTCATATACTTTTAATTTTCATGAAATCTTAAAACAAATAAATTATTATGAATGTGTTAAAGCTTTCATGGATTGTCTTGTTGCTTGAAGTGCTTGGGGATATATTCATGATATTTTATATATATTATATAAAATAAATTATTTTTCCTTATAAAATCATTCTATTTACTTTTTTATATTATAGATTACTTCAGTTTTTATAGTAAGTTGGTGAATAAATCCATTAAATAGTTGTTTTCTACGTTAAAAGTCTAAATTAAGAAGATCAAATTTGAAATCCTGAATTTCTTAAGGAAGTATTATAAGGATTAAATATTCTTACGTAATAAGGTATTATTATCTTATTGTCTGTATGTTCTTATATTATTATACCGTTTGTTATTAGTTCAAATGCTTTTTACATTTTTTGCTTTCGTACTAACAATATTTCAAATATAATCAGAGTATGGAACATTTATCTAAAAACGATTTCAATCATATACACATTTATTTAAATTTTTCACAAAACATTAATTGAGCTTGATAGAATATAATTAATGGTAAAAGTTTCGTTTACTCACTTAGTCAAAAATAAAAATAATATTAAACTATTTTTTAACTTAAAGGCCAGTATCTATAAATTATTAATATGTTGCAGTTTGGATCCAACTCCAAAATTTTGAAGTTATAATGTATTGTTTGTAGGATAATAATAAGTCATTAATTTTATTTTTATATAATTAATCAATAAATGTAATTTACATTTAATTTTCATTCGTATTCTTATAAAAATTCAATCAATTTACATTCATAATGAATATTTAAAGAATGGAATGTACTCGTGAATTAAAAAATGATTGTATACATTCCAAATACAGAATACATCTGAATGAAAAAATGAATTAAATTGTATATAGGTACTATTATAATTTTTCAAAAATGCTTAAAATTTACATTTTTATGATAAGAAACTTATATTGTACATTAAATTTTTTTAAATATTTCAAGGACTCCCTAAAAATATGATTTTTAAAATGACAATTAGATTTTAGAACTACTCTGATAAATAATTAGTCTGGGTAAACTTGCCACGTCTACCCTATTTTTTGTGTAAAAATATATCATTAATTTATCACATAATCATCACTTAGAGACATAAAAAATTCTCAATGACTTCTCTGAATTAACCCTAGAACTCTTAACGTTCGATTTAGTAAAGTTAATGTATGCAAATTTATGAAAATGCTTTCTCGTATACGCAACAACGTCACCACTATGCAATCTCTATAAGGAGCCCAATACTTCTATAAGAAGTTACTTAAAATATATGTTTACTTACATACATTTGTGTATTAGCATACACTTTTCAGGCGCTAAGTTATATAGTTTTTTGATTGCGATATATTTTGCATAAAAATTAAAAATGATAAATATACTTTCACTTAAAAAATAAAATCAGACATAACATGGATTTTAAAATCATAAGGTATTTAGGAGTTATTATTATTCTTATTATTAGCAACTTAAAATTTAGAAATCAAAAACACAAGTTGTTTAATTAATCAATTAT